GCCCTCATGTCATGAACACCCCCTGCCGAACACAAAGTATTTCAAGCTCCACAAATCCAGTCTCCCTTAGCATCAGCACGCATCCACCCAAACCCAGGTGGCTCCCACGTGGCCTCCTGCTGACCTCAGCATGGCTCTTTGATCCAGCTGTGGATCATCGGGGCATAAAGCTGTCGCTGAGTCCAGGGAATTAATGAAGGAGGCTTGAAGCCACGGCTCAATCAGGACCTGAAGCCTGAATCGGCCAGTAGCTGCTTTAAACAGACGCATCATTCTGTCTGGTCCCCTCAGTCTTCACGGCCACCTAATCTAGTGACTTCTAATGGCTCCTGGTAAACTACAAGATCCATATTGACCAAAGAAACGTATAAAATGTCAAATCATAACATTAAAACAACTGTGACCGAAATATGAATGGAATATGCAACCATTATTATATAGAGTACAATGTCAGGCTGCAGACTGAGTTGCTCAAGACTCTTGATACTTAAAAGGCTATATGATTTGTGTCTAATAAAGTTTAATATCATTTCAAATCAATTTGATAATGGAAAGGTCTTGCGTGATGAACATAGGGAGAATTAGAAGGATGCTTTAAAGAATATATCAACTCAAAGAGAATGAAATGACTATCTTTACACATATTCAAATGTGTTTCTGATGCTCCAAAGTGACTTCAATTAGTTGTGTTAAATGTGTTATTCCAGGTTTGTGAATGAATCCTTAAAATTACACAATGTTCCAATTTAAAGTGAATATTTACATTGATACAGACTGGGAGAAACTCATTCATTGGGAAGTTCATCCATAGGGTGATGGTCATTCTGTTTAGTCAGTTCTACAGAGACTAATGAGGGGGAATCCAATTGTGCTGACTGGCAGCAAGTGAAGGCAACATGTGTATGTATTCTCTCTGATCGTTAAAGAGAGCTGACAAATAAAGAATTGAAACCACAACTGGTTCTCATATTTCACGAATAACGACATGATTGAGTTTGTAAAAACAAACCGGTTAGTTTTTCATTGAAGTAATTATCAATTAGCACGTCAAAATATTCTTTGTTTTTTTTCTAAGAACAGTATTATGTTGATTTAAATTCATTTGGGGATTTCTGTGTTTTGCTGTAACGTCCTTCTTATTTTTAATTATCCATATCATATTGGATTATTTTCAGAAAAGCAAAGGTTTTGGTTTAACAAATAATCTAAATCCCCACAATTCCCTGTTCAAGAGAGGTTGATTTGCTTTGAGGTGAGATGAAGACGTTCAGCAGCTTAGAGCAAACAAATTATTGTGTGGGCTCATGGACACAAAGTTTCCCTGGACAGAAGAGTGAGTTGAAGGCCTGTCCTTCCTGATGTGTATGTGTGTGTGTGTGTGTGTGTGTGTGTGTGTGTGTGTGTGTGTGTGTGTGTGTGTGTGTGTGGTGTGTGTGTGTGTGTGTGTGTGTGTGTGTGTGTGTGTGTGTGTGTGTGTGTGTGTGTGTGTGTGTGTGTGTGTGTGTGTGTGTGTGTGTGTGTGTGTGTGTGTGTGTGTGTGTGTGTGTGTGTGTGTGTGTGTGTGTGTGTGTGTGTGTGTGTGTGTGTGTGTGTGGTAGCAGAAGAAAACTATTGTTCAAGAATTGTGTTGCTGATATAGTGAGAACACTTGTGTTGAGAACACATTCCCACAGAGAGCTAATGCCAGAGGTTGACTGTTCGTGTCGGGCCAATGTGACTGCACAGGAAATAGGAAGAAATATATCAAAGGGAAACATCACTGAGGGTAAGATGGAGCTCTCAGAAACACTGCCACAGTCCTTCATCATCTCCTCTCTCTTCACAACCAATTTCACCCTCACATCCCGCTGTTCTTCTCTCTGGTAGTGACAAACAGGGTATATCCGGAGCTTCAAGTTCAACCAGAGCCTGGAGAAAACGAGCCCGAGCACAGATGCATCATACATACAATAAGCCTCTGTTGTTAAGAAACAAATGACAACGTGACCTTTGGTTTTGTGGACAATCATTAAGGCTTCTGACTGAAGTTGGTGCTTTTCTGAGTTTTACCTTTTGTGCTGTGTGTTTATATAGGTTTGTGTGCATGTAAATCCCAAATTTGCCTCCAGAGGGAGTTTCTCTCCTGCACTCTCAACCCCCTTGCCGGAAACGCCCTTAATTGGACTCCATTTTTTACTTTTACGACATAAGGCGCTTTCACACCGCAGTACTTTTCCCACAAAGGTTCATCAGAACTTAGTTCATGAGAACTCTTTAGTTCTCATGAACTAAGTACAGATCGCGTTCACACCGGAATAAGTTCCTGGGGAAGGATTAGGCAAATTAAGCCGCTGACGTCACTTCTTCTTCTTCTGCTTTGGGTTTACTGGCAGGCTGCAAACAACTTCACGTCGCATACTGCCGCCCAAAGTCCCCGGCCGGAAGTCCCCGGAGTTGGTCACCAGAACGCCGACACCTCCTCATCTCCACCGCTCCCATGTTTTCTTTTGTGTTGCCATAAGTTAGTCTCTCTGCGTTTCTGCGCTGGGCTAATGCTAATAATGCTAATGCTAATAATGCTAATGCGAGGATAATAAAATTGCGGCTTCACAACACTTTTTGGGAGTTTTACGGGGCGTGGTTTGCAATCCGCCCAGCCAATCAGACATAGGAACCTTTTTCTCCCACGAAAGTTCCTGCTCTCTAGCAGGGACGGAAAAGGGGGTGAAAAGGTTCTCATGAACTCATTTTAGTTCCGGATTTGTTTGGTGTGAACGCAACATTTCGGAACTATATCGGAACTAAAGTGGGAAAAGTACTGCGGTGTGAACAGTGATAGTGACATCACTACACTCACGCTTCTATTGGCAAGCGCTGAAAAACATTGTAGGTGATAGGCTTAAGTATTCTTCATCTCTAAGCGGTTGAATCACAGCATCATAACAGAGCTGGCCAGCTAACCAATCAGAGCAGACTGGGCTCTGGTTTCAGACAGAGGGTGAAAAGAGGTGCGCAGCACAGACAGTATGAGAAAAATAAAGACCTTTTTGGACATTAAAGCATGGAAACATGTCGCAGTAGAAGCACTAAATACAATGATGAAACCTGAAAAGGATCATAATAGGGCCCCTTTAAACAATGTGTTACTGATTATCTTTGTATTTGTTCAAACAAGCAATTTGAAGATATAACATTTACTAAAGTTACAGGAATTGTAAGCTGCCGTGATACAACCAAAAATGACTGTAGGATGAAAGTGAGTGATCAAGGTAGCAGTGAAGGAATATAGTAAGAAAGCTTCCTCCTTCACACACCCACATATCGTCTATGATCCATCACAGAGAGCATACGTGAAGCCGTTGCTGGTCTGCTAAAAGTGTACTTCTAAGAGTGTGTGTGTGTTTTTAGATGGTCTGTGAACCCTGCACCCCCATGGCATTGATCCTTAATGCACACACTAGCACACACACACATTAACTCCCAATTCACTGATGTGATCGAACCGAGGGTTTGATGAATAAATAATGGTTTAAGCTCTGGAGGTTCACTCGACTAATTAACAAGGGGCAAATATTCTTCTGGAGACGCAACAATACAAAAGAGCAAGAGAACGGAAAACATTAAATCCAGGATCACTGCACAGGCTTCATACACACCGACACATGCACACTTAAGATGAATACACACACAGGCGCACATGTGTACACACATACTAATTTGAGATTCAGTGATGTGAAGGGGAAGACAAAAGAGGGGAGGAGAGGTGCTGGCCTCTATTGACTCAAAACCCTGTGGGCTAATGAGAACTCAAACATACAGGCATTCACAAAAGCACTGATACACACAACCGTTGTTGTCATATGGCTGTGTCGGGGTGCGAAGGCGGTGTGTTAGCTCACCACGGTCGATCCGAGGTTATCATGAAGGAATATCTAGCAAGAGAAATTCCCTGTGGCTTTGTCGCTTCATGGGCACCCAAACACACACACACACACACACACACACACACACACACACACACACACACACACACACACACACACACACACACACACACACACACACACACACACACACACACACACACACACACACACACACACACACACACACACACACACACACACACACACACACACACACACACACACACACACACACACACACACCACACACACACACACACACACACACACACACACACACACACACACACACACACACACACACACACACACACACACACACACTGTCACTGAGGTAATTAGAGTGGTATAATTGTGAAAAATAACCAGTCTAGCTAGACCAGATGTCCTGCTAACATCACCCAATTTGTCCCCCAGATCATCATGAATATGAGCTGACAGCAGAGGGACCGGGAAATGATAATAGTTGGAAAAGGGAGTGGCAACACTGACTGACTGAGGGCTTTTATTTTGCTATGCTGGCATCTCCTTGGAAACAGTCAAGTTGGATGTACAACATATAGCAGGCGCCGTCGCAGAGAAACTAAAGAGAAATCCAAATAAGTTCCAACGACGTCAAAAACATTTTCGTTCTCGCAACATCATGCAAATATGAATCCGCGTGGCAGCAGGAGAAGCAACAATAGAAATCAAATGAACTCAAAGTGACTGGCTACAAATGGCTTAAAAAGTCCCCACGGGCGAACGGGAAGCCATGACAGAGTTTGTGAAGAAGCTTGTCACGAATGAGGCAGCAGCAGCAGCAGCTTGAATCCTGGAGGACCCGGAGAGCTCCACAGCCTTTGAACATACAGGAGGCAGGCGGAGGCAGGCGGAGGCAGACAGCAGAGCTACGTGACTCTAATGACAACCACCACAATCACACCAAACATCCAAAGAATCCCTCAATGCTGCAGTTTATCAAGATGAAATACCAAGCAAATGCACCAACTAAAAAGATGCCCTAAAACAAAGTAAGAATACACTTTTTTTTTTTTTTTTAAAACAAACAGGACTGGGACATACAGTACAAGGGGGACCAATCCATGCGCCCACCTGTGGGTTTCCCAGCATACTCCATCCGTGCCCTCAACTCTCTCTTATCGTATAGGTCACTCTATTCCTTCACCCATGTCCTCATTCATCCCCAGCCGTCACCACCACACTGGGACACTGGCTTAGGCGGAATATTGTTTTTTTTAAATCAAAGAGAGGGAAGGCAGGGAGGGACAAAAGGATTGTGAAAGAGGTGGGAGAGAGGAGGAGTATGGGAAGAAACACAGCGAGGGAGACGAGATATACAAAGAAGGAGAGTGAGTGAGAGAGAGGGAGAAGTAAAGGGCTGCCAGTTCTGAACATTGTCTCCTTTCTCCCGTCCTGACTGTGTCCCTGGCTGTCTGTCTCCCTCGATTTCCTCTCTCTCTCTTTGCATTTCCTTCATTATGTCCATCTGAGTAGTCATGCCGGGCTAGCAGGGAAGCAGCAGAGATGTGGCCTTAAAGCACCTTGTACTAGACCTGTACTCTGGTTGTTTGCTGAAGGCCATGGACTGTCCTGTCAGCCTGCCAGAGCAGCAGGTTACTGACGATCTACTGTGACGTCCTTCTTCAACCTTCCCTCCCGTCACCCCGGCAACACCTTCACTCCCCTGTGTTCTACTGTCCTCTGTTCATCATCCTCCCCTCCTCCCCATCTTTCTCCTACATTTGCCTGAATCTCTGCCATCCCCACCTCCTCCATCTCTCCACGTAACCTGAGAAAGAGTCTTTCAATTTAATTTCATCCAGCTCCGGAATCCATACTAGCAGAGCTAACTCCGCGTAGCCCACAGGAATAGGAAAGATTGTCAATCTCTGCATCTCGATCCGCTCTAATAAAAAGAGCCCCGTCAAAGCGGTGTATATACACACACATGGCCCCTAGGGTGCTTCCTCGCTCAGATGGCCAATCAGAGGCAAGAGGAGCGGTGCGGTAATTAACACCAGTGGGGCCCATGCATAGAAATCAAATCTTAGAAACCAAGCTAACCAAGAACCAAAATGCTTCACTGTGACTGTTGTCACTTTTTCAACATCAAATCACTGGGCTCTATGATGTGGTTTGAATCAGAATCTACTCTAATTTGATAATCACAACAGCTCTAATGGTCACGTAACTTATACAAGACATGTATCTCTCTTTAATTGTTGTTCATTATTAATAGTGTAAAATGGCAGATATTTGCATGTCATGCAAACATATTTCAATTTAGGTTCAGCGCAACATAATAAACTATTTAGATTTTCAGTAACAATTTCCTTATAATCGTTAATGATTACTTGGAAGTATAATAATATAAAGATCCCATTGCATTATTTTTTTAATGTTACATAAAACACATTGCTTGTACACAAGAGGACTATTTAAAACGTTGAATGTACTCACTCATAACCATTTGCAAAGATGATTTAAAATCCTGCATTCTTTACCTAATTTGACTAGCTTTCAGTCTTCTTAATTGGCCATGTTGATGCATAACTTAGCATGTTATTATTTACCTGTTGCCCCTCTCTGTACGTGCATGATACAAACAAACAGGGACACGCTCATTCCTTTAGAGCAGTGGTTCCCAAACTAAGGCCCGCGGGCCGGGTACGGCCCGCCTCCACATTTGGCCCGGCCCCCTGAACAATACCAGAGACGCATTATGATTTAAAAAAAAAAAAAATGTCAGTCTGGCCACGCGAATCCTAGACTAGCCCCTGTCAAAATGTTGTGACCTGCTCTATCGAAATCAGTCGCATTGACCTGAAGACACCTTTTGAGTTGAATACACTGTTGGAAAGAGGATATTCCTAGCTTTCTAATGATATCAGGATTGTTTTTGTACTTCAAATATTAAGCGAAATATGTCACATTATATAATGACTGTCACCGAGTCATCATTTTGAGAAAAAGGCCTTCAAAGTTGTCTCTTCTCTGGAATCCATCGATCTGATTGATTATTAGCGGAGCAAATGATCAAAATACTACGGAGGGAAGATATTTTCGTTTGGAGGGGCAGCTCGCGAGTGTGTGTGTATACGTGTGTGTGTGTGAGTGTGTGTGCTTGTGTAATTTTGCGTTTGTGTGTATTGTGTTTGTTTCCCGGGGAAAACACTCACGAGAAACACCGGCTGTTGTTATGCCTGCCGTTCTCCGCTTGTAATTATGCCGAAGCTTCAAAGTTGTATTTATCATCTGAATTTGCCGAAACAAGTTTAATATTCTGAAAGCCAAGACTTTGTTTAATTAAAAATAGTTTTTTTTTACGTAAATCCACGTTTATTTTTGAGAGATTCTGCTCTGACAACTAAGCTAAACTTTTACCTGTTAAGATTGTGCACGGCACAACAGAAAGTTACAGTAATTTTCAATGGACTTTTTTTCTGTGAAGAATCCAGAGAGGGTTATTTGGTTATTATTTATTTCATAAATAGTGTTATTTATTTCATTAATAGTGTTATTATTTATTTCCTGACTTTTTTTCTGTGAAGATCCCGGAAAGGGTTATTAATATTTGGTTATGTGTGGCTTTCTAGAAAACAATAAATGTTTACGTTTAGACACCCATGCGATCGTCACACTTTTTCTGTTACAAACTGACCCGGCCCCCATCAGAGAAGGGAAAAGTTATGTGGCCCTCACAGGAAAAAGTTTGGGGACCCCTGCTTTAGAGCGTCAAGAACTGCCTCTAATGTGGAGTGGATGCTAGCTGCAAGTTCATTAAATAAATAAAAGGATCACTCCAAACTCCTAAGAACTCACCATCCCTCTGAACAACTACAGGACATTTTTATTTCACCGTCATCAAAACAATCTGTCATTAACTGAGTGTGTGTGTGCTGCTGATACAAAGGAAGACACCCACTGACATCTCCCCCTATGCAGAGCTGCACCTGCTGAGTGGTGCAAGGTTAACAATGGCCACATAGGGCTCGACAACTGCTGAACATGCAGATTCACTCCCAGCTGAGTTCACACACATGCAGGCAGGCAGGCACATACAAACAAACCATGTATACATCACTTCAGGGGACATTACATTGACTTACATGCATTTCCTGGAGACTTATCCTAACCTTAACCATAACCAACACATGCCTAACCCTAACCCTAACCAAGTGTTCACCCTAAAATTCATTTCTCCCCTCATGGGACCTCCATTTTGTCCCCATAAGGGAGGCGAGTCCCCACACGTGACTGTGTAAACAGAGTTAGGTCCCCACAATTAGTAGAATGCGACCACACACACACACACCCCACACACACCCACACACACACACACACACACACACACACACAACACACACACACACACACACACACACACACACACACACACACACACACACACACACACACACACACCACACACACACACACACAACACACACACACACACACACACACCACACACACACACACCACACACACCCACACACAACCACACACACACACACACACACACACACACACACACACACACACACACACACACACACACACACACACACACACACACACACACACACACACACACACACACACACACACACACACACACACACACACACACACACACAGGCAGGCAGTCTGTCCCAGTCTGTGTCAATGAGTGACACAAAGCAAGCATGTTGTTAAGCTAACGCAGTGAGCTATTGCCTCACAAGTAAACAACAAGTAAACAAAAAAGCAACCCTCTAACCATCAGGCAATTTAGCACTTACAAATACATGCAGATGAGATATTAATGGCTTAGTACGTCCTCTTTGACCTTTTAATTATTCTGATTTGTGTACAGAGCAAGCGTCCCGTAATTGCATTAGCATCTCTGCAGGTTTACTTAATGTTTTAGTGGAGAGGGAATTAGGATTCAGTAAGCAGATAGGATAACATGTCCTTCTTTTGTACACTAAACGATCCTCCGCAAGTGTGTGTGTTTGTATGCATGCCAGTGAGGATGCAGTAAATCATCTGAGATTTATTAGCTCAGTTACCACTAGTCAAACCCTTTGACATGCAATTATGCTCTATCAGCAAATAAATGATTGGCCATTATAGGCCATAATTGGTTATGGTACAAAGGGTACAATACATTGTCCGTCTCTTTGCAGCTGTTTAGCACCCTGTCATGGTGTGTGCTGCCTGTATTACCAGAGAACTCTACTTGCCCCCTGTTTGCCCCCTCTTCCTATTCCCCACTTCCTCCTCTCCATCCTGTGAGCATTTCCCCGGAGAGGACCGCTGCTCCTTCTCTCCCTTTATCTTGAGAGCGAGGCATCTGGAAAACAGGCTCTGTCTCCACCTCTCTCCATCACATTCAATCATCCCGGTGTTTATTCAGCTATCCGCCCTTTCTACCGTCCCTCCACCTCCCTTTCTCCCTCCTTCTGTCCCATCCGCCTTTCTCAGTGCTGACTATGCCTCAGCATCGCTTATCAAAGTCGCGCATCTTTCCATTTCTATCTATCTCTCTCCAATTGTTTTCTTCCCCTCCGTCCTACCTATGCTTGAAGCCATTCCTTTTACATTTCCTCTCTGCCTCAAAGTGTTTTTGTCCTGGAAGATGCTGTGCCATTAGTACTGTCAGAGGATGGAGGATGGTGAGCATTTTACCCTCTGTACCTCTATGATGTGGTAAAGCTTTTGTGTATCTAGTATAAGCACACATTTCTACAGGGGTAAAGACAGTAGAAATAGAAAAAGCTACTTGGTGGCTCACTTTAAATTGTCTAAAGCACACACCTGCAAAAATATACACTGGGTTTTTTGTTAGAAATTTGAATCCGTAATCCACCTTTTGTTTTAATTTAAGGTTTTGATGTGATCCACTGCACTATTTTCAATATTTTCCTTATTAAATTACTGGTGTACATCAACCTAAACATGTTTGGGACATTAGCAGGTCCAGGACCCAGTGGGCACGGCTGAACAAGTGCAACCATCAGTACAAGGCCTCAATGTAAAGTCAAAAACACCTTCCCGTCGTTGACTACCCTCCAAGTGTTTGCTAGTTTTTCTATACACTCATATCAAGTACTATACCTCCAAACATTCTCACAATGCAAGATGGAGTGGGTAGGGTGAATT